CCGCTGTCGCTCAGGCCTCCCTACAGGAAGACGGGCGCGCCAGCGAGACGGAGAACGGAAGCAGCGTGGGCCCTGAAAGAGACCCGAGCCTCCGCAGAAACCTCCCGGCGCCGCGAAAGGATTACGATCCGCTGGCCGTTTCCAGGCTTCGGCCTCTGGGGAGCGGTGTTCGGGCCTCCGGGGGATTGTCCCCGACGAGCAGCCAGCGGCATGAGCACAATCGTTCAGAGGTCGGTGCGGTTTCCCTGGATTGGCGATGGCCCCCTCCCGGCGGCGCCTCTGGTGCCGCCCCTGGCGCGCTCCGCGCTCCAGGTGGGGAGTCCAGCCCCGAAGAAATCCGCGCGCGGACCTCCAAAAGCAGATTCCCAAAGCAATGCTCGCGCTAGGGGGGTCCTACCTCTCTCGCTAAGGAATTGAAGGGTCGGCAGAGTCCTCGCCACGCTGCCGCAAGTTGCCGCGTCTAGCTTGCACCACGCATGCTGTACCACACAGCTTACACGACATAGCTTGCACAAAGTTAGCTTGCGCATCTACACTGTGATGACCTACTGCTCGGGGCCTAGACATCCAGCGCTCCAATTTCCTCAAACAATGCTTACACTTAGGGGTTCTTGCTTGTGTCCTACAGTGATTGGAGTGCAGTGCTGGTCCGGCGGGCTCGTCGCCGCCCGTCGCCGCCACTTGCACTGGGCCCCGGTGGCGGAGCGGCCGGCTCGTCGCCGTCCGTCGCCCCACTCGACCACTCCCGTAGCACAGCACAGCACAGCTTGCCACAGGCACAGAAGGGCATAGCATAGTATATCATAGCATATAGTAAGATGGTGCGACCAATGTGGTGCCACGATGTGACTTAAGATTGCACCAGATCGATGGCAATGCAGAGATTGCCCCGCATTGATTGGCACTGCATGTTTTGCACTGCATAGATTGCACTGCGTAGCCTGCATCGCACGAATCACATAGCAGAGTAGATCACACTGTTTGGGCCCCCCGCAAGCAAAAACTCCCCAATTAGGCTTGCCAGTGGGGCTCTTATTTGCTTAAAGATTGGTGCCTCGGGGGGCTACTTTGCCGGTTGCTCAGAGGTTCATCGGGTTCCTCGGGTTCCCCGTGGAATGCTACTTTGCCCGTTGCCCGGAAGTTCCTCGGGTTCCTTAGGTTCCTCGGGTTCCTCGGGTTCCCCCGGGGTCCTCGGGTTCCTCGGGTTCCCCGAGTTCCTCGGGTTCCCCAGGTTCCTCGGGTTCCTCGGGTTCCCCGGGTTTCTTGGGTTCCTTGGGTTCCTCGGGATCCTCGGGTTCCCAGGGTTCCTCGATTCCTCGGCAATGCCAAGCAATGCCGAGCAATGCCAAGCGATGCCACGCAATACCATGACGGGGGTCTCTATAGGTTGAACTACATACTGGGGAAAGACGACAAACGAACTGATTTTCCTGAATACTGAAGCCCCTTTTCTATCGACAAACAACGCGACATGAAGAAACATACCCACCCTTCTCGAACAACGACAGACAAACTCGCATTTCGACGTGAACTACTGCACTCAATCGACGAACAACACACCAAACAACCTCTAATTACTAACTTTTCGGGATGAACAAATAACTGAAGATCTTTTTTTTCTTTTTTAAAGCTTCCACGCAAATTTGCGAAGTTTCGATGAATAAATTCCTGAACGAATCCGCGAAACAAGCATTCCACACATTCTGAAAATAATCAGCACCAGTGGGGCCCCACGCGCATTCCTTTCGAAATGTTCGTGCTTTACCTCTTGGATTCGATTCGGTCTCCGAGCAAGGATCGCCAGACGAATACATATATATATATATATATATATATATATATGTATATATATACAAATGTATATACATATATATATATATACATACATCTCTATACACACAACAACCCCGAATCCAGAGAAACAGTTTTAAAGCCATTGGTTTTCCAATAGGAATAGGGGCCGATGGGGCCCCACGCGCATTCCTTCCAAAATGTTGGCGTTTACCTCTTGGATTCTATTTTGTCTCTGAGCCGAGATCGCAAGACGAAAAAAAAGGTATGCGAGAATCCCAGATCAAGAGAACTGGTCAAACAACCATTGGTTTTCCAATAGGACTCGGGCCCGACGGGGCCCTACGCGCATTCCTTCCGAAATGTTGGTGTTTTACCGCAGGTCAAGTGGCGGCCGCGACGAACGACGGCATGAACCTGGATGACTTACCCACTAGCGCCGCGCGGCGGACGAACGACGGGGCGAACCTGGCACTACTTACCTACTTGTAGCCGATTAAGCCCCTCTCATGCAATACCAAGCAATGCCAAGCAATGCCAAGCAAAGCCAAGCAATGACAAGCAATGCGAAGCAATGTCAAGCAATGCCAAGCAATGCCCAGCAATGCCAACCCATGCCAAGCGATGCGCCCAACGATGCGCTCATACAATAGGCTTCAGGGTTTCCCCTAATTGGGGTCGCGCCGGGTTCATGTCTCGATGCGCGGGACCCAAAAAAAATCTAGACCAATTCCCCGGTGCCGGACTTTCATCCCGAGTCGTTTGTGGACGATCCTGGGGCCCAGTGAGGGCCCCCGTAGGGTAAAGATGACCCAAAGCCAGCCGCTCAGATTTTTGCCGAAGCCTCGAACCTCTTGGGGTCCACGCTGGCTGACATGCGTTTGCCGAAGGTCACCACGTCGGAGGTCTGCTCGGCGCCGCGCCGCGCCGCGGGGTCAGGGGGCGGGGGGCGGGGGAGGGCGTGGGTGGGGAGCGGGGGGACACTGCCGCGGGAAGCGGAGAGCACTACTGTCAAGGGGCCCAGGGACATATACAAATCCCAGGATTCTCGATATTCTTTCGTATTTTCTGGATTGTCGTCCTCTCCCCCACGTCCCAAATTTTCCCATATGTTCCTGGGAGTCGACGACTGTGTGTGTGTGTGTGTGTGTGTGTGTGTGTGTGTGTGTGTGTGTGTGTGTGTGTGTGTGTGTGTGTGTGTGTGTGTGTGTGTGTGTGTGTGTGTGTGTGTGTGTGTGTGTGTGTGTGTGTGTGTGTGTGTGTGTGTGTGTGTGTGTGTGTGTGTGTGTGTGTGTGTGTGTGTGTGTGTGTGTGTGTGTGTGTATGCGGGGGGGGGTCTGTGTCTGTGTCTGTGTCTGTGTCTGTGTCTGCGTCTGTGTGTTTTTCCCCTCCTGATCTTGGAGGGACCCACGGGCCTCTGGAGGTCCCTGGATCATCTCCCGTCGGGGCGGGGCGCCCAGGGGGAGGGGCACGGCCATCGTGCCAGCATGAGTGGCGCGCACACCCCGCCACAAAGTCTGGAGAAGGCGAAGTGAAGAAAGTGGACTTCACTCCGAGCGTGTGTTCTACGATTTTCCTGGGAGTCGGCGATTAATTGTGTCTGTCTGTTTTTTCCCCTTGATATTGGAAGGACCCACGGGCCTCTGAAGGTCCTCGGATCATCTCTCGTCGGGGCGGGGCGCCAAGGGTGGGGCACGGCCATCGTGCTACCATGAGTGGCGCATACACCGCTGCACAGAGTCTGGAGCAGGCGAAGTTCAGAATGTGGACTTCACTCCGAGAGTGTGTTCTACGAGAAAAGAAGCTCCAAGAGTAAGCCCAGGATCCAGTCAAGATTCATGAGCTTCTTTAGCGAGACCTGGCATCCAGGAACATCTGTGTAATAAGGCTCGCAAAAAAACATGTCTGGCCACGGCGGGCGTAGGCCACAGACAGGTTCCACTGCATCAGTCTAAGGGGCGGCCCGAACACCCGAGCCCCTGCTGAGCCCAAAGCGGTCCATTTATGTCAGCGTCTTGGCTGCAGGGCCTCAGTGCCCGGTGGGCCACTCGGCCGATCGCACCACCCTCGATCGGCTGCGATCTGTGGTCGCCGACCGCGTGATCAGCAGACACGGGGGGGAGTGCCAGCAGGAGGGGGAGTCGTAAGAAAATCTCTATGGACAGCTCTGGGGGGAAAGGTGTCGGAAATAATTGAGCACCACGAATGCAGAACGTATGATTTGAACTCCTCCCCCCTCCACCCAAATGCAGTGTTGGTTTCGGATCTTCCGATTTTGGGCCTCCGAGTGGTCTTCGAGTAACGTGCCAACTTTGAACTGCAGAGGAGGGGTGGAGTGTTGCTTAACGTCTTCCCTCGACCGAACGTCGGCCTCAAGTCGGGTTCGGCCTCTAACCTTAGGTCGGGCATGTCCCCCTACAGGCGGATTTTGGGCGAAACATTTTTAAACAATCAACAACAAATGCCCCAAAATAGTCAACAAATATTCAAAATACTCAAAAATCGTCCCAAGACTATTTTTCACTATTTTCCAATATTCCTCCTGTAGAGGGACATGCCCCACTTACCCCTAACCTCACCGTGGGCTAAACTCCCCCTCTGCGCACTCTCGATCGCAGAGGGCGCGAGGGTCTGTGGGAAGCCCCGCGGCCTTCTACTAAGCCGCCCAGCGTCACGCCTCGCGCCCCGCGACGCGCGACGAGCGATGATCTTCGCGCCCTCGCGCCGCCACCCTGGAGAAGGGCACCTCAGTACCTCAAGCCGCGACGCGCGAAGCACGATAGTCTTCGCGTTTCTGGGGGTGACCCAGAGAGCATTGTCACGGCGGTAACGAGCGTTATGGGGGGGGAGAGGGGGGGGGGCAGGAGGGGGGGGGCGTAACGTAACGCCCCCCCCCCGCCGTGTGGTTCTGGCACCACAGACTGTGCTGCTGGATGCACTGCGGCAATGCTGGGGGCGCACTGGGGGGGTGTTGCCAGTGGGGCCATTCGTGGACCCCTGACCACACTCCCCACGCACACGGCGCCGTGGCGGGTATGCGCGGCAGCGCCACTGGATGCTGTGAGCAAGCTGGATGCTGTGTGCAAAAGGGGGGCTGCACAGGCTTCCTAGCAAAAGGTGCTCCGAGGCTTCTCTTTCCCCGGTGCTCCCCACCACAAACTTCCCAGACCAGACGCCGGGAGAGCGTGCGCCCCCGAGAGCTCCGCAGCCTACGCGCGCGACGCGGGCCGGCTTCGCTGCCGCCTCCGCTGCTGCGGCAGCGTGGGGCGGCACGCCCACCCGCCGCCCACCAGCACCGCTTCCGGGAGCGCACCGGGGTCCGCTGCGCTCCTGCCACGCATGCTGGCCGTCTTCTCGCGTGAGGCTGGGCGGCCCCAGTCGGCGGCCTCTGCCACCGCGAAGCCCCAATCGGCGGCCCCCGCGCTCGCCAGGCCGGCGTGCAAGGCCGGGCGGCTCCGCTCGGCGCCTGCCGCGCCGGCCAGGCCCGCGCGCGAGGCCTGGCGGCTCCAGTCGGCTCCCGCCTTGGCCAGGCCGGCGCGCGAGGCTGGGCGGCTCCAGTCGCCGGCACGCGAGGCCGGGCGGCTCCAGTCGCCGCCGGCGCGCGAGGCCGGGCGGCTTCTGTCGGGAGTGCTCTGGCAGCTGCCGCTTCGCGGCAGAGCTTGCCTGTGCCAGCTGCGCTGCCGCTGCGGTGTGGTGGGAGGCAGCCCGACCGCAGGCGAGGCAGCGCAGCCAGGGCCTGGCCCGAGGGCATCGCGGTCCAGCTGCTGCATGCCCCTGACAAGCTGCCGGATGTGCACGAGCCGCACCTGCTCCGCCTTACTCGGCTGCTTGCAGACAGATGAGCTGAACTCCCGCACCCTCACGCAGAGGTCCACCTGTCGCGAGACACTCCTGTTCAGAGTGTCTCGGGCGTCATCCCACAGCGGGGTCATCGGCATTCGCGGTAGTATTTCCTCCTCGAAGACATCCAAATCGCGCATCGTGGCGGAGGTGATGAAGCAAGCAGCTCGCGCAGCAAAGACCTGCGCGACGTAGCTCTCCACCGTCTCCACGAGAAGCCCGTGCTTCACGAGGGCCGCCGTGGCGCAGATAAACCTACGAGCAACCCTGGTGCTGAACTCCTCGGCGAGGCAAGTCAAGAGCGCCTCCTGCAGGTGGAAGGACAGTACCTCGCCGTCCACGCCCAGCTCGAACCGCAGCCTCGCCAGGTCCCCTGCGTTGGCCTGCAACTGCTCTGGCGTCAGCGCGGGGACCAGTCTCTGCACCGCCGACATGATCACCCGGCTCAGGCTGTGGCAGAGACACGGTGCCGCCCTCTTCATCGACGGCGCCTGCGCGGCCAGGCGGAGCAGGGAGGCGAAGCTGCTGACCTAGGGGAACAAACAGCGACACAAACACAAACTGGCGGCGCACACGAGAGGGCAGGAGGGGGGGAAGGCTTCTTAGAAGGAGGCTGCTTCTTAGAAGGCGCCAGCCCCACATCTACAGTCAAGGCCCACACCTTCTAAGAAGCAGGGGTGCTTATAAGAAGCCTTCCCCCCTCCCCCTACCCCCCTCTGCGCGTGGCTATCTGGAAACTCGGAGGTCCGCGCGGATTTCTCGGATCCGCGCTGGACCCCCCTCCATGGCGCACGGCGCGCGCCAGGGACGCAGCCGGAGGCGCCGCCAGGGGTGCCCCAGCGCCGACCCGAGGAATCTGCGAGGACCTCTGATTTTTTATGTTTATGTCCTTGTTTGTTCCCCGAATGACCCTCTGCTCCAGGCCCGCAACCAGGTCGTCCAGAGCCGATTGCACGACTGGCTCGTCCAGAGGTGCCGCTGGCAGCGCGGCCGCCAGCGAGCCAAGGCCCCCTTCACGCAGGCGCGCGGCGAACGCGTTGGCGATCGCCGAGCGGGCCTGGCACGCCTCTGCGCTGGTGCCGCGCCTTGCGAGGCGGTACGCGCGCTGGAGAGGGGCGAAGCCGAGGGCTAGGGGAGCAAACAATGACATAAACATAACCACTCGGAGGCCTGCGCAGATTTCTCGGATCGGCGCTGGGGGCCCCCTCCCTGGCGCGCGGAGCGCGCCAAGGGCGTCGCCCGAGTCGCCGCCAGGGGTGCCCCGGCGCCGATCCGAGGAATCCGCGCGGATTTCCGAGCTCTTATGCTTATACCATTGTTTGCTCCCCTAGAGGGCGGGCGCCTCGAGGGCCAGGGCCGCATAGTCGACCGGCGCGGGCTTCGGCATCGCTCTGCGGCACATCGGGCAGGTCTGCGCCTTCAGCGTCTGGTGGCACGGGGCGCAGAGCGGGTGCCCACAGGGGGTGGCCTCGTCCGTCGGGTGGAAGCACACGCAGCACTGCTGCTCCAGTGCGTCCGGCGGGCCAGATCCCCACGCCTCCACAGGCCCAGCCGCCTTGCCACGAAGAGACGAGGGCCTCGAGGGAAGCAGGCCCTGGGCTCGGGGCCTTCTTCCCCTGGGAGCGGCACGTTTGTCGTGAGCTGTTCCTGTTGACTGCCCAGGGGCCTGGCAAAGGGCCCTGGGAGGCCGAGAGCGGCGAACGACCTCGGAACTCTTGCTCTCAGCTCGCCATCGCTCGGACGTCCCCCGTCGTCCTTTGGGCTTCGTGCATGCGTTTTTTTGGCAAGATGACCCAGACGGCTCCTAGATGGCCCTCGCCGCGAAACCATGCACACGTCCGAGCGATGCCAAGTCAGAACCCCTTGTTCTTCATGGTGAGCCACCGCGCTCGCGGGCCTGCCGCCTGCCTGCGACCCAGACGACGACGGCCGCTCCTCCATGGCTGTGGGGCCCCCGAGCTCGAGCGGCCGCGCTGGGCCGACTGCGGTGGGGGCTACGGGGGCATGCCTCGACGGCCATCGCAAAAGACGACGGCCTCTGGAGCCAGGATGGCTGCGGCAGACACGGGTACGCTGAGAGGTCTTGCACAGAGACGTCTAGGGGCACACGTTTCGGCCACCTTGAACTTCGTGGGGCGCCACTTCAAGTGGGTCGGGGCCATTGGGGAATGAGAAGGTCCTGAAGGTCCTGGCGCCTCGCGTGCCCACAGCACCACACGCAGAAACGATAGCTGGGCGAGATGTCAAGGGGAAAGGGATGAGTTCTGCTTGACAGTTGATCCGACATGCACGATAGAAGACACTAGTCAACCAGAAGCTGGGATAAGCCCTAGCAGCCCCAACCAATCGCGTCCTGTGGCGACCTACGTCGAGCGACGACGACAACGACAACGACAGCGACCGACGACGAGCGAGCACGACGATGACGACAACGCCAACGACAACGACGACGACGACGACGACGAGCGACCACGACGACGACGACGACCACGACGATGACTACGACGACCACGACGACGGCGGCCGACGACGAGCGACCACGACGATGACAGTCACGACCACGACGACGACGACGACGACCACGACGACGACAACAACGACGAAGACGACCACGACGGCGGCGACGACGACGACGACGGCGGCGACGGAGACCGATGACGAGCGACCACGACGAGGACGACCACAACGACGACCACGACGACGGCCGCGACGACGACGACGGTGACGACGACGACCACGACGATAACGACGACGACGACGACCGACGACGACGACGAGGACGACGACGACAACCACGACGTCGACGCCGACGACGACGACCACGACGACGACCACGACGACGAGCGACCACGACGAGCGACCACTAAGACCCCGACGACGACGACGACGACGACGACCACGACGACGACGACGGCCACGACCACCAAGACGATGACGAGCGACCAGCGACCACGTCGACGACGATGTCGACGACGACACCGACGACGACGACGACGACAACGACGACCACGGCGACGACGACGACGACGACGGTGACGGCGGCGCTGGCGGTTGCGGCGGCGGCGATTGACGACGAGGGACCACGACGACGGTGACGACGATGACGACGACGAGCACGACGACGACGACGACCACGACGATGACGATGACGACGACGAGGACGTCGGCGACGGAGACCGACGACGAGCGGCCATGACGACGACAACGACGACGATGACGACTACGACGACGACAACGACGACGATGACGACCACGACGACGACGACGGCCACGACCACGACGACGACGACGACGACAACGACGACGATTACCACGACCACGACCACGATGACGATGATCACAACCACGACGACCACGACGACCACCGCGATCACGACGACGACGACGACCACGAAGACGACGACGACCACGACGACGACCACCACGAAGATCACGACGACGACGACGACAACGACGACGACGACGACGACGACGACCGACGACGACCACGACCACGACCTCGACGACGACCACGACGACGACGACGACGACGACGATTACGACAACGACGACCGACCGACCTCGTCCGCGGCTTTCTCGAAAAACCCTCGAAGGCGGCGGCGGCGGCGCCTGCCGCCCGATGCGCCGGAGCGCGCGCGCCACGTCGAAGGGCCCCTCGAGACCACCCGGCTCGGGTGCCGCGTCTGGGGCGGTCGGGGTCGCGGCCGCTGGGCGGGGTGCCCTTGGTCGGGAGATCGAGGAGGAGGAGGAGGAGGATCGAAGAGGAGGATTTTTTTTCCTCTGCAATCCCAGAGGGCAGGACCGATGCTAATCACTTAGCGGCCGCGACTGCGGCTTCGAGAAAACTCTCGAAGGGTTGCTGCCTTCGCAGCAGCCTCCCGAGCCTGAATACGTGCCACGAGAGCGCGCATGCCAGGGGTCTGAGGCAGGGACTCCATCCCACGCAGAGGCTGGCGAACGTCAGGCGGTGGCGGCAGAGCTGCAGCATACTGCATGTAGGCCGCTCCGCGGCGACTAGACACGCTGAGCCGAGACCCCTCCTCCCTATAATGAGGGTGCTGGCCTTCAAAGATACGACGGAGGGTCGTGGGGGCCCCTGCCAGCTTGCGCAGTGGACAGTCGCGGCCAAGAAGGTAACACCTCTTGGCCGTGTAGGCCCCGCACGTCGCACAGAAAAACATAGTGGCCTCGACATCGTTCTTGGTCACACGCGTATGAGCAAGCGTGTGGCCTTTGCTGAAATCGAGGACCCCCCGCCAGGTCTTGCTGGGCCCAGGGCAGCCGATCATTGGTCTGGTGGACGGGTCTTTCCAAAATGACAGGCATCTCAGACAACGAGCTCGTCCTTGCTCAAGGGGTTCCCACGCATGCCAGCCCCCTGATTTGAGGAAGCGTGCGCGGGGCCCCGCAGGGGAGCGTTCAAACCGTTCAACCTCGAAAACACACAAAACTTTGGCCAGCACTCTGGCCGCGAATTTCAACTTGACTAAATTCGACTCGATAATGTCCGAATTCATGTTCGAGGGACGGGGGTGGAGAGAGAGGGCATGTTTGGCGAGCGAGTCAGCGAGACTGTTGCCAACGGCGATCCTCTTGTCCACGGGCGAGAGCGAATCGATAACCTCTTGGGATCGATGTGCTGGTGTGTGCTGCACGACGATCTCATGATCACGTTTTTCATGTAGCAGTGCCCCTCGTCGCATGCCTGCATAACGGTGCTTGGCCGACGTCTGGTGCGTCGGGCTGGTGAGGCAGAGCTTGACCACAGTCATGCAGTCACTGATGCGAGTACCCGAGTACTCTACATAGATGGGCAGGCAGGCCATGGCTTGGTGCTCGGCCGCCTGCGGCGTCTGGGGAAGAACGTCCCACACGGTTCCTTTAGCGTAGGCCAAAATGGATTCACCTGGGCCCAGAAACACCCACGCATAGGAGGCGCGGCTAAGTTCGCGCACCGAGTGACGGAGACAGGATCCGTCCATACACACTTCGCACCCTCGCAGGTCGATAGATCCCCGCTCAATTTCGGCCCCCTCGGCCGAGTAGAGGGTGGGGGCAGGATGGTTGGACGGAGGCGGGTGGAGGGTTTCGGGATGTTCGAGTTTAAGCTCGTCCCATAAAAAACCGATCTTCGCTTTCCAGGGCCTCCTGAAAAAGTTCAAGCTGTTCTCCCACAGCTTCGGCTCGGGCAGCCCGTGCAGTCTCGTGCTGACACAGCCAGCCGCGGTGTCTGATGCTGTCGACCTCACCGCACAAAGGGCATCTATCGTCGCTCGGGTATCCTGCAGCGCGGGCTCGCGCGCGGGTCCGGACTCCACTACAAAACGCTGAGCTGGCGAGGTATTTCCCCGATCGGTCAGAACCTTGGACTTGGGCCCCAGGAGTTTTTGCAAGGGGTCAAGGGTCACACGCGGACCAGGAAAATTCACGAGATCCGAAGCCAGCTTCCGTTCAAAACTGCGCTGGGTGGCCAACCGAAGTAAATGACTCACCATGCTGGGCGAGTTGAAGCCGAGGTGAACATCACGACCGTAGTCGTCCTCCCAAGTGAGAGCAGACGTGGCACACCAGCCCACACGGAAAAGGCACATATGCATTCTCTGGATGGGCCCCCTCGAACTCTTCCAACACACATCTTGATCGAAAGGCACTCGGCGCCACATCTGACAAACTTCCTTAACCGTGTAATAGGAAGTCGAGGGAGAAGTGATGGCCGCCCAGACGATCGAAGCCCAATGGACCGCGGGGGCCACGCTAGCACGATCAACGGGGTCCATGCAAGGCAAGTTTGGCCGTGAGGGAACAACCACGGTGAAAAGGGGGTTTGTAGGAAAGGAGGACACGCCTGGCCTGGGACAGTTCCCAGTCACTCAAACCAACGACGGCCGATCCGAAAGTGGCAGCAGGGGTAACGCCAGCAACATAAATCTTCCCGATTCGGCCCTTCTGCCGAGGAGGTCTACTCCTCATTTTCTGCAACTTCTTATGACGCTTGAACATAGAATCGAACCGCGATCGGCGTTTCCAAAGGGCATTACGAGCCGACCTCACCTGACCAGGAGCAAAATCAGTGCCAAGAGACACGGTACTGTTCGTAACAAGGCCAGCCTTCTGGCCGAGCAAAGTGCCAAGCTTTTTGGCCAAAGAAACAGAGCTCCCGAACGTAGTTAATTTATCCGCCTGGAGGCCGACCTTCAAAAATAACATACATGTGCGCACAGGCCTGGACCATACGACTGAGAGCCTCCTGTTCTGTATCCGCCTGCGTCGTCAGAGCATCATCATCGACATAGAGGAGAGAGGGACAAGGGGGTTGGTCATCGTGTAGCCGTCGAAGGCCTCGAGGCTGTACACACGGACAAACAGGTCGTTAAATCCGTCGCCCGCGGGTAAGCCCGGCGTAGCGAAGCAGGGGATCGTGCCATACATGCTGCCGAGCCTAACGATTCGGGGTCCTCGCCAGAAGTTAAAAGTGGTTTTAACAATGACTTCCTGGAACCCGAACTTGAGAGCACGATCCCTGGGCAAAACCAAATCGAAACTTTCATAGTATTTGGTGCCGTCCCAAATCACCCCGAGAGACACTTGGCCCGTCTGAGCCGCCACTTCGCCGGCCGCAGCCTGATGCCACGCAGCATCCTCAGGGCTGCGGCCAGGGCCGAAGGCCCAAAAACGTCGGGGAAAACGATCGTTAAAGTCGGTGAGCCAAGGCCTGCGGAGGCGTTCCCAGACACGAACGGGCCCAGCGCATAACAGGATGGGGCGGAGCCCTCCCTTGGGTTTCTCCAACAAAGGGAACAGTAACCAGAACAGCTGTTTGGGGAACAATCCCAACGACTCGATCGCCTGAACGAGGGCGCCGAAGGTGTCGAGGGCCGCATCCGAGACCAAAGAGAGCTGCCGCGGGTGGAGCCCGTCGAGCGACTGGGAGGTGAGCGCCGAGAAGCTGGCGCTGGCGCTGCGGATATCTCCTGCAGTCGGGCGCGGAAGATGATTCCTATTGGGAACCCACACGTTAGACGGCGCAGTGCTGGCATGCCAAAAACTAGCCAACGCCTCGCTCTCGGCCTCGAGCAGGTCCCGAGGGTTGGCCGAGAAGAGGCCAGGGTGAGTTTCGATCGTGGTAGGGGTCCACCGACGTTTCAGTTTGGTAAGGCGGCGCATAGCCCGAGCCCCTCCCCTTAAAGCTTTCTCCTGCCATTCATCCCACGAGTCCTGCCTCCCCTTCTTGATGGCCTTGACAGCATCATCGTAGTCGTCCTCCCAAGACTGGAGGAACTCGTCAAGGTCGGTCAGCCACGTGGCTGAAGAGGCGGACCCGCGGCGCATGAGCTCACGAGACTGTGCAATCGTGCTGTCCAAGCGCGCGCTGAGTCCCTCTCCAGGGCATGGCTGAGCAACAACAAGCTGCATCTGCTGATTCACGTCCTGACACAACTGATCGAGCTTAGTAGGGTCCTGACCAATCCCTTGTTCCGCCTCCTGGAAACGACGACGGGCCCCGAGGGTTTCGCGAAGCTGCTGGGCCAACCACTCCCAACCAACATAAACCAGGTTCGTAGCGTTACCTTTGGGACGAGAAAAGATGGGGATCCAACGCGCCTTCAACCTAGAACCTTTGTGGCCCTTGCTGGTAACTGGGACGCCCGTAAATGACTCGAGCTCGAGCTCGAGGGTGTTGGAGAAGTACATTCACGCTTGGCTCAATAGTTCCCACGCCTCGCCGGCGGGAGCCGAGATAGCCGCATCGGCCGCACATTCGGCGATGTCGCGCGCCATGCTCCAATTCTGCGGGCAAGGGGACGGTCCCACAGGCAGCTCGCAAGGAAGTCGTTGGTGCGACCTGTAAGTTAACTGGTACAACGAAACAGCACGATCACGAAGTTGCAACTGAACTGGCCTGTGGGGCCGCCCCGTCCAGGTCAAATCAACCTTCACACCCTCGACCGCCCTCGAGAAACTATTGGAGGCCAGGAAGAAATCTAAGGTAGTGAGGGAGGAGGGGCTGACGCACGTGTGTTCCTTCGGCACGAACAAGACCGCCTCGAGGCGGCGGGGGAGGCCAGCAGACTCGATGAGACTGGGGGCCAGATTCCAGTCTCCGCCCGCCAAAAAGAGGTGCTCGTGCTGCAAAGCCTGTCCGATTTTCTTAAGTAACCTCAGGTTGAGCTCACAAAGCCCCGTACCTGATTTCAAGTAAACCGACATCACAACGAGGGGGGGCCAAGACGGGACATCAACGATAGCTTTCAGGATCCGACCGTGCTCGACGATGCCAGAGCCATCCGAGGGCCACCTGAGGCCCAGGTGTTGTCGAACCAAGACGGCCGCCCCCCATTTAGGTTTCCCAGACAATCCTGGAACAGCAGGAGCTGCGAGCATGCGCCAGCCCAGCTTACCTACTGCGTCGCACTTGTCACCTTCATCGTCGAGGGTGAAACCGATCTCCTGTGCCAGCAAAATAAGAGCGGAAGAGGTAGTCAACCGTTCTCGCAGTGTGGGCCAAGAGTTTCCGTTGTACGTCTCGAAGAGCTCACTGCCCATCGTGCCCAGAGAGGAGCCCAAAGGAGGAGGAGGGGGAGGCACTGGCAGGCCAAACCTAGACAGAGGCAGGCCGCAACACAGGGGCATTACTTCACCGCTACTGCTAGGAGCGCCGCTGGCGCTTGGCCAAGATCTCCTG